TTGATTTGTAGAGGTTAAGCAGAATACTAGAATCAGCTCCCCATATATTATTGGATAGAATTTTCAGCAAGTTTATTCTATTTTGACAAGTTAGTTGTAAAGTCGTAATGTGTGTTTTTCAGTTTAATTTGTAATCAAACGTTAGGCCCAAAAAATTCGATTCCTCTGAATGAGATATATTTTGACCGTTAAATATTAACGAAACAGGAATGGTATTCTTGCGTTTGCTGAAAACTGTGTAATGTGTCTTATTAGTTGAAAAGAGGAAGCCTGTTTTGGAAGACCATTCTTCGATTTTGTATAGAAGGTTCTGTAGTATTTTAGCCCCAGATGTAATATTTTTGCATTTAATATACACAACTAAATCATCAGCGTATAAGTTTGCTGTTATAGGAGGCTTAATTGTATTTGTTACATCGTTAAATGCAATTAAAAATAAAGTTGGGCTTAAAATAGAACCTTGTGGAACACCGTTGTCAAGTATTCTAGTGGTAGAGGTGTATCCATTTACTCTTACTTGTATTTCCCTTTTATTCAGAAAGTTTTTTATAAACGCAAGCATATGTCCTTGAATTCCCCATTTATCAAGTTTATTTAATATGAGGTATCTCCATGTTGTGTCGAAAGCTTTATTCACATCAAAAAAGACTGCTATAACTTTCTGATCTAGTAAGAATGCATAATGAATGGTTGACTCAAGTGCCACTAAGTTGTCGTTAGCAGATCTTCCTCGTCGAAAACCACTTTGAACGGTGGTCAGGAGATTTTCATTTTCTAGATACCATGTAAGCCTGTAATTTAAAATTTTCTCGAAAAGTTTACACATGCTACAGGTGAGGGAAATAGGACGGTAAGATGTGGGACAATCTTTTGGATTGTGTTGTTTATAAATTGGGATTATAATAGCTTTCGTCCAATTATCAGGAAAGTAATGATTTAAAAAGATGTGATTAAAGATGTCTAAAAGTATCTTTTTGCATTTTTGGGGTAGATTTTGTAAAATATCGATGGAATATCATCAGGACCTGGAGATGTGGTTTTTAGAAGTTTAAAAGAGAAAAATCTAATTCTTGAAAAGTTATGGGTACATTTATGGGAGAGATCTGGTTGCGAATTTTGATGTCTACAAATTCTGTGGTAGTCTTATGTATAGAAAAGATCGGATCTAGTACAGAATCGCTAGAGTTTTTTTGAAATACGTCTACTAGAATTTCAGGAATTTCGTTTCTACAAGAGATGATTTGGTTGTTATATGAAAGTGCATTTATTGAGTAAGGTAAACTTGATCCTTTTATTTTCTTTATTTTGTTCCAGATTATATTTGCTGGTGTGGATGTGTTAATGCTTCTAACATATTCAATCCAGGTCTCCTTCTTACTCTTTTTTATCAAGAATCGTGTACTAGCTCTTAATCTCTTAAATTTTATTAGGTTTTCCTCTGTTTTGTGTCTCTTAAAAACATTAAAGGCGTGCTTGCTAGCAGCCAAGGCCCGAGAGATTTCTTGATTCCACCAGGGCACCGGTTGCCTTTTACACTGTTTAGTTTTTCCTATAGATGTAGATGCACAATTTAAGATAATGTTGTTAAAGTCCGTGACGGTTTTGTGAATGTCATTTGATATCTCATAATTTTCCATCTCGTCTTCCAAGTCTTTTTGAAAAAGTTCCCAGTTTGCTGATTTTATTTTCCATCTTTGATATACATTCGGATTAAGAGGTTGGTTTGTCTCGATTGAAATGAGTAAGGGGAAGTGGTCACTGTCGTGCAGAGTTTTTGCTGTGTTCCATTGAAACATGTGTGCTAGTGATGGGCTACACAGAGTCAGGTCAATTGCAGAGAATAATCCGTTATATGAATTGAATCTTGTTGGCTTTCCAGTGTTTAATAAAATTTAATTTATTTATCAGACTGTGTAGAAAGTTGCCACATTTATGGATTTTTTTGGCTACCCCACGCTGGGTGATGGCAGTTAAAATCGCCTAGAATTACTTTGGGATGGGGTAATTTTTCTATGAGTGCTGTTAGTTCATTTATGTCGTCTTGGTTAGGATGCGGTAAGTATATATTACAAACATTGATGATTTTACTGTAGGTAATTGACACAGCCACAGCTTCCAGGTTTGTAATAAGTGGAATGATTTTTGCTTCAGTGTCATTTCAAATGAAAGTAGCTACTCCACCACTAGCATGCATTCCATTTCTGTTTTTCAGAAATGGCACATAATTTCTAAGTGTTACAGAATTGTTTTTAAAGTGAGATTCTTCCAGACAAATTATAATGGGAGAGAAATCGTTTATAAGGAGTTTTAATTGCTCAAGGTGGGTGTAGAATCCGTTTAGGTTCCATTGAATTAAAAATGTATCAGACATTATTTATCCTGACTAATTGTGTCGTTGTCAGATTCTTCTGTAGATGAATAATAATTTGAGGATAATTTTTTCTTAATAGTTGTAATTGTTCTTTTTAAAGAGGGATTTTGAATATTTGCGTGGATAAAAGTGAGAATGTCAATAATTTCGGATATTTCATTGGTGTATTCTTTTGCTATAAGTTCAGGGTTTTTAGAGTTAGTGGCATTTTCTAAAAATAGGCATATTTCTGAATAACCTATAGGAAAGGGCGGATTTTTTTGTTCTATTAAGTTTTTAATAGGATCGAGGACAGCAAATGTATTTTCAGTCGACTTGGCCCTTTTTTTGGTTTAGATGTTTTGGGAACAGAGAAGAAGTCTTGTGATGTGGGAATATCAGAAACATCTGGAGAATTTGATAATTGTCTTTTGGCCTTATCTTTATTTAAAGATGGGTTATCGTTGCTAGTTATAGATAGGGTAGGAGCTGGAGGGTTATAGGGAATGTTGACTTCAGATGGAGTTTTATAGGTGGTTTCAGTTAGCTCTATATTGGTTTGGTTATTTGAATTAGGATTTTCAGGTACTTCTGTTTCCATTTGTTCACTGGGCGAATCCGTTGTTTGAATGCAGTCAACTTCTCGGTGTCCTATTGTTCGACATTTAGAACAATTAAATTCGTCTATAGAAAGGTATATTCGATATGTTGTGGAATCAAAAGAAATGTTGAAAGAGTCTGTTATGGATAAGTTTTCTAATGGATTGATGTAGATTTGCCGCCGAAAACTTAGAACATGGTTATATTCTGTCTCAGACATACCCACTCGAAGAAATGTCATTTTTGATATGGCTATAATTCCCATTTTCTTGAGTTCTTCTTCTATAACTTCGTTTGGAATGGTTGGACAAACATTCGAGATGACTAATCTTAATGCTGGAGTTATTAATCTGCGGACTTCTACTTGCACGTTGCTGATTTTGACGTATTTGTGTGAATCAATGAGTTGGTCTACTATTCTTTTAGAAGATAAATAAATGCAGATGCGGTTGTTTGCAATTTTCGAGGCAAAAACTATGTTCTTTGGAAGGACAAGTGATCCAATGGCAACTATATAATCATGGATTTTAATTCCTTCTATGGCAGATAGTACAATAGCATGGTCTTTTGCCGGATATTTAAATGAAGTTAGTATATTTGAGTATGTAGATGGTGTGGTGTTTTTTGAAGGATTATTCTCTTTTGGATTCATTTTTGGTTAATAATTTTTGTCTTTAAATTTATTTATCATAGTCAATTTTTTACCCGTGCCAATCCGGCTCTGTATTATCAGCAGAGTTTTAAATAAAACCCGCTCTGAAACCTGTTGAGACGGCCTTTGTGATAATTTTGTTGACTATCAGAATATGTTGTAATTATGTATTATTGAGAATATTAATTTTACTCACTGCGATTGTAGACCAATCGATGAAAAGCACTTAAACACTTTTAACTATTTTTGATCACTTTAATCTATTAGATTTAAACGATATTATCGGAGCTAACCTAAATGTGGTTTGCTAAACCAAGGTCAGAGCCGTATAATCTCAAGTTTATTGTATGGGTTTATATATCCTTCTGCTTGAAGTCCTACTATTTTCCTTTTTCAGCAAAGAACAAAGAGCAATTAAAGATAAACTTGAATATACCGAACGAGATTTCCAACGAATGTGGAATGAAAATAAACAAAAGTTATGACGGTAGAGGAGGAGAAGTAATAAACGATCAATATTTAGGAGTTAAGATAGAATAGAGTGAAAAATAGAATATAGAGATTAATAACATGGAATATACAGATTAAACACAATGCAATGTAATGAATAGCCAAGTGAGGAATTTTAAGAAAAACAAAAATCGATGTGTTCAAATCAATACATAGGCTTGTACTAACTTTTGGATGCAAAACATGGGTATTAACAAAGAGGAAAAAATGCAACATAAGGGCTGTAGACATTAACTACTGTAGAAGAGTCAGAGGAGTAACTAAAATGGACAAAACACGCAACACCAAGACAAGAGAAGACCCAAAGATGCAATTGACATTAGAATTTGTTGAAAAACTAGAATAAAGTTAATAAGCTAATTTAAAAAAAAATGAAAGATACTCGACTAGTGCAGGAAATATGGCAAGCTATGATATAAAACGGAGAACGAAAAGAGAGAGATCACGACAAACATGGTATAAAGCATTTTTAAGTATCTTAAAAATGAGAAGAATAACATAGACGGAAGAGAGGACTTTGGTAAGAGATAAAAAGGAATGGGAATAATGTGTACAGAAGTAATATAACTTATAATATATATTTTTTTTAATTGTGTTGTATACACCACAGTTTTTTATTATTCGTAGGGATATATTATACCATTCGTTTAATTATTGGTCTTTAATCATTTCTTTGTTGAACATGTGGTGTTACTTTCAATAATAAATAACCAGTTAAGTTCTTTCTGTGGTATGACTACCGCGATAGAGATCTTCCTTTAAATCTGTTTGCAGATATTGTCTGGTTGCGTACATCAATCTGCCTATGATTTATGTGTATTAATAAATAATTAAAAAAAATGCTTATACAAATGCCAACTGCTTATATAATTAAAACAAAATAGTTACCTTGGCCATAAAAACATTGGGTTGATTGAACCTACTGACTTCAGATTCGGGAGCTGCTGAAACTTTAGCAGTAAAAACTTTTGGTTCCAAAAGTGGACCCATTGGTCCAAGACGACTCCATTCTTCATCTTGTAGAGCTTCTGGACCAATCAAAGTTCTCTGTTGACTGGTAGCTGGCAAAGCAGGTAGGCAGTGACACTTGCAGTATATTTGATCCCGATATTGGGGACTATATATGTGATCAGGTTCGGGCCTAAAATATATATTTTTTGATAATTTATATACACAAATAAATTATATGTGTAGTAAATGTGATTTAATTAAAGCTGTTCTGAAGCTATTTTCTTGTGGCATTTTAAATTAATTACTATTTAACTGGGAATAACGCACAATTGTGGCTTATATCAATTAAATAGTAATTAATGTAATTAAAGCTATTTTGTATCTTATTTTTGAGTTTTTAAGTTAAATAAATTTATTAAGTATTTGTATTTTTCGGGAAAGGTAATGATGATGCCAAACAATATGTAGAGAAAATTAAAAACTCTTTTAAGGGAGACCTTAGTTAACTAAAATTTTTTGGAGGACGCCTCCCAGTTTAGAAGAATAAAGTTTCGGCTATAACCTTTGCATAAATAGTTTTACCATCATCATCATCGTTAGTGCAACGGCCTTAATTGAGCATTATCCATATCTATCTACCTCGTCATCTAGTGCTTTGGGACTAATCCCCTCAATAGAGTATATTTTGTAGAGTAGTTTCCATTCCAGACACGACGGTATAATTGCCGAGCTCTTGAAAACAAACAAGACATTAACAATCACTATACTCTAACAGAGCTATTTAATAGATTTCTACATAACAGCAAAATCCATAAAGACTGGAACGAGAGTTTAGTAATACTTGTACACAAAAAAGGGAACAAATGTGGCCAAAAGAATTACAGACCTATACGTTGCTCAGTCAAGTACACAATAGATGTTTAATTTGTATTACAATAGCTATGTATATATTGAGCTTTGGCTATTTTGTTGTATTTATTGTATAGCTTGAAATTGCATCGTCAGCTCCATTTTCGTTCGAATAATAATATGTACTCTATTCTCATTTGCATTAGAAGACATCCATGTCTCCCAATTTGAAAATGATTAACCAAAATTTAAGTTGAAAATATATTTATTTTGACATTTTGATTTCTACTTAAATTGTATTTTGAAAAAGATTTCTGAAGTGAACATCGAAAGATCTAAAGGCTAGAAAAATCATTAAGAAAGACCTCAAGAATGCAATATTTGAGAAAAAAAACCGGAAGCTCATTTGTGCTTATTGCAGAAAATGTAGATGAACTACACAGATTACTAGCTAAAGTAATAAAAACAAAAAAGGAAAATTATTACTAGAAAAACTTAGATTTATATCCAATACGAACTCTAAAAAATTGAAAAGCATGCGAACCATAAGGCATACCGAACGAATTACTAAAACACAGCCCACAAGTATTACGCGAATCACTAGCGTATGTTTTCACCTTATCCTATAAAAGACACCATAGGAATGGACAAAAGCACATATTAACAACATCTACAAAAAAGAAAAAAAAAGGAATTGTCCAAACTATAGGAGGCTAAGTGTCACAAATTTACTCTCAAGACTCTATGAAAAAATAATAAAAAATAAAATTGAAAAATAGATGAGAGATGTAGAAGAACTAAATAGCTTTCCATCAGACAGATCCTGTACGGACAGCATATTTTTACTTTTGAAATTTCTGCTCGTTTGCTTTACTTTAATATAAATAATATACAAATTTTTACATCTGCAATAATATTAGACCAAGTACTTGAGACTTTTTAATTTTTGTTTAGAATTCAATATTTAGCTTATCAAGAAGAAGAAAAAAGCTTATCAAACATAAAAATATTGTTTTTGGCTTAGTACTTACGACATTAATATTAATTCTACCAAGAATATTTAATATATAAGTTTATCTTTTAAACTTAGCATTTAAAATTATATTTTTACCTTAGTCCAAGAGTTTTTACATAGGGCCAAAGATAATCCTTTCTGTAAGTGGTTACAAATTGTCCCATCACCATTTTGAAAAGGATATACAACGAATTTTCCTTATTAAAAAATTACTATAAATTTAACTAAGTATATGACATTTTAAAAAGGTAAATGTTGACATTTTTGACACCATATTTAATACATAACATTAGGTACCGGTAACGACAACGACCATAGACATATACAACGACAGAGCGCCGCGCCGGTTGTTTTAGTTTGTGGTTATACCGAGATCTTAAGATCCACTGCAGGATCACTACGTTTATAACTTAGTTAATCAAACTCACATTTTCACATGCATTTATAATTAGTAAAATACATTGATAATATATTGTCAGTTAAAAAGTGGCCGTAAATATTTTACATTAAAGTAAGAGTAGTTAATTTTTGCACAAATATTTTATTTCGTTTATTTCTTTTTTAAATAAAATACACTTCTTATGACATATGCAGAGTTTTTACATCAAATTAAAGATTATTGTTTTTTTAATATACTAATATAAGTTTGCCTGATAAAAAATGGTAGCAAATTAGGGTTGTCAGCTGTTAGAAATGCGAGGTGTCAACGAGAAATTAAAATAAATTTACCGCGCAAAGCTATTGGTTAAAGTACTCCCTAACTATGTGAGTTTTTAAAGTATGCGTCTAAAGGTATATATATATATATATATATATATATATATATACCTATATATATATATATATATATATATATATATATATATATATATATATATATATATATATATATATATATATATATATATATATAGTGAGATAATAATAAATAAAGCAGAAATTAGCATAATAATATTGATTATGATTTTTAATTAATAGACTTAAATAGTGATTAAAGAAATAATTTATAAGTTACAGACTAGAGAATATTATGAAAAATATTTATATGAGGGTATTTTTAAGAAATTAGCATAATAATAAATGTAAAAAATTTTATTTTAATAATTATAATATTATAGATATATTTAAGTGCACCATGAACCAAATATACACTGTATTATAATGACAGAATAGTGAATTTGAACTGAATAAGTGACATTTGAATAATAATTACGGATGTAAAATAGTGTTATTTATTAATTTAAGATATTTAATTTATATATAAGTTTGTATTCTGATTTAAAAAGCCTAAATGTCCATAAAATTCTCGACAGAAGGGTAAAGAATTCTCTAGAACACGTCATTATAAGGAAGTTAACCCTATTTGCGAGGTAGACTATTCGAGAACATTCATATAGTTAGGAAATAGAATAATTTCGAATATGATTTATTTCAAGAATATTCGGGAATGATGAAAAGATATAAATACTCGGTAGTTTGGAGGATAGAGGACAGTAACAGGAGGACAGTATGAGAGTAAATTAATAAGACAGTTAGTTAGTGAATTCATTAAGAAGTTAGTCAGTAAAGAGTACAAGCAGTTCATAGTATATAGTATACAGTGATCAGTATTAGAGTATTAATTATACAGTACAGTATGTATATGGCGATTGAAGATTAGAATGTGCTTGACAAGCTGAAGAAGCTATTTCTCATCTCCCTTCCGACCAAGCCGAAATTGCCAGACAAGATGTTACCAGAATTCTCCGTACTTTCAAACCCCCGCCGTCAAATACCAGTCTTTCAGAAAGACGTGCTCTCAAAGAACTTTATAACAACCCTGCCATTGTCATCCTTCCGGCCGATAAAGGTAATGCCACCGTCATTCTCAACTCTTCTAATTATTTAGACAAAATGTTCGAACTTCTCAATTCCACAGAATACAAACGCGTCCCAAACGATCCCACCACATATCTAGAAAAATCTACCAAATCCATTATAAATAATTCTACTCTACCTGCAGACATCAAAAAATCTCTTATACCCAGAGAAAAGTCATCTCGAATCCCAAAGATTACGGCCTTCCAAAAATACATAAGCCGAATGTTCCTCTAAGTGAAAGCGCCCACCAAAGTGGCGTGGCAGTGGCAAGTAGCAAGTAGCACGCGTCTAGCATAATGTAACCAATCCTAACGAATGATTAGAATGAATGACGTTACTGTCATTTTGGTGTAAACTGAATCATTCGTTTTCATTGGTTACATTATGCTAGACGCGTGCTACTTGCTACTTGCCACTGCCACGCCACTTTGGTGGGCGCTCTCACTAAGGCCCATCGTCAGTGCATACAACTGCCCCACTCAGAAATTGGCCAAACATCTCGCTTTATCCTTACAACCATTAGCCAAAATAGCTTCGTCTTTTGTCAAAAACTCTTTTCATTTTATCGATCTTCTGAAAAATATTTCTATCTCACCCTCAGATATACTAGTTAGTTTTGACATTGTTTCTTTGTTCACCAACATTCTCATCGATGAAACCATTTCCATCTTGTACTCTAAACATCAAACCTCTCAAGACACACTATCTCTTATAAAACACTGCATGTCTAATACATACTTTTCATTCCAAAATCATTTCTATCATCAAATCAAAGGTGCCCCAACGGGATCTCCCCTCTCTCCCGTAATAGCTGATATTTTCATGGAACATTTCGAAACAGTAGCCCTGTCCTCATCAAATCTTAAACCCACCTGCTAGTTACGGTATGTTGATGACAGTTTTGTCATTTGGCATGGTAAGGATGCGTTAGATCTCTTTCTCTCCCACGTAAATGGAATACATCCTAGTATTCAATTCACGATAGAAGTCGAGTCTGAAGCGTCTTTGCCATTCCTCTTTGTCCTTATTCAGAAAAACTTACCTTACAGTTTTTCCTATTTCGTGTACCGGAAACCCACTTATACAAACCGATATCTTAATACCGAGTCACATCATCACACCACCCAACCCAATTTAGTGGTCAACATTCTCATTTCTCGTTTCATAAGACTTAGCGACATCAATCATAGGTCATCTGAAATCAACTCAATAAGGCAAACACTCTTACAAAACGGCTACCACAAAACTCAAATCAATAAGAGCATTCAAAAACATCTAAACCCCATTCTTCCAAAAAAGAAACCTTGCGGCCGGATCAACCCAAAATCTTTCTACCTTTTAATAAAGGTGTCACGGACAAAATCAGTAGAACTCTTCTTCCTCTAAACATCAAAACCGTCTTCACTACTCACTTTAAGTTGTCCAATCTCGTCAGATCCGTAAAAGACCGAATCCCTAATGAACTTTACTTTTTCGAGTCTGGATCCGACTACAGTTTCTGTGTCCAATATCGGGCTACGTCTACAGCCTTTGTATTTGCGAGCCATATATCATCGAGGGTGCACTGTGATGGGCAAAGTCTGCATACTCTCAGGTGCTCCACGTTCTGTATTTCCCCACATTCACAAAGTGCCTCGCTATCTGTCTTGATGCCCCATTTAATGAGGTTCTGTTTTATAGGGGCAACACCTGTGCGCATGCGGTTGAGTGTCCGCCAGGTTCTCCAGTCCAGGTTCATTCCATTAGGTCGTTCTGGATGTAGGGGGAACACTTCAGGTGGTTCGACGCTGACATTTCTCATAAACCTTTTCCTTGATTTAAGTCTGCTGATTCCTGGCGGTTCGTCAAACCCGTATAATTGGTGCCGTTCATCGAAAGTTTGCCTGAACTTCTCCACATATTGTGAGGCACATCTACGGTCGTCTGGTGATGCGAATTCAGCTACCCGGTACAGTAAGTGTAGAGGGGTAGGCTTCATACAACCGGTAATGATTCTACACGTTTTATTTAACGCCGTGGTGACTTGTTGGGCGTGTCTAGATCTACCCCAGATGGGGTAGACCTGGGGGTTTGCACCCCACTTGCTCCCTACAAGTTTCCGGAGAAGGTGGTTTCTCGTAGAGACCGTTTGTCTTGTGCTCTAACAGTGGAATTTATACGTTAGTTACCGGTCTAGTATCACTCCAAGATATTTGGGTCTATCAGTATGTTTCAAGCGTTGTCCCAACCAAAAAAACATTCAGTTTTACATGCGCCAGTTGGTTGTTGAGATAGAATGCACATACTTGGGTTTTAGTAGGGTTTGGCTTTAATGAGTTTTGTTTGTAGTAAGTTGACATCATGTTTAAAGCATCTTCCATTGTCGACTCTACTTATGTGAGTGTTTTCTCCTTTACGGCTATACCAAGGTCGTCAGCATAAACAAAACTCTCAGTCTGGGGGTGCATTGGTTGGTCGTTGGTATAGATGTTAAATAAGGACGGCGCCAGAACGCTTCCTTGAGGTAGACAATTTTTTTGGATTCTCCATCTACACTTCTTTCCATTTAGCACAACGTAGAAGCGTCTATTACACAACAGTGATCTAATGATATTTACCAGGTCATAGTCAAGCATAGTGTTATAGATCTTAGTTAGCAAGGTTCTGTGGTTTATCGTATCATAGGCGGCTGTGAGGTCTATCAAGGCTACTCCTACTATCTCTTCTACCTGGTCTAAAGCCTTATTTTTGTGGGATTAGTTTTGCATCTAATGTTTCCTGGATGCGGTTCAAAATGAGGCGTTCATACAATTTATACAAATGGCATAGCAGAGATATCAGACGGTAGCTACTCGGTACTTCAGGGTCTTTGCCAGGTTTCAGAAGGGCTATTACTTTTGATTTGCACCACAGTTTTGGAATCTGGTAGGTAAAGCGACAGATGTTAAATAGATTGAGCACCCATTGTCTCGCTTTTTGCCCGAGATGTTTTATCTGCTCTGTTAGGATTTCATCCACCCCAGGTGATTTTCCATTTTTCATACAGTCAATACCATTTTTGAGCTCTTCGATGGTAAATGGGTTTCGTAAGAGAGTTGTTTCCTGGTTTTGAGTTCTTATCATATTTGGCGTTTTGCAAAGATTGTTTGTTTTGCCATTCAGAAGCAGTTGGTGGGCTATCTGATTTGGCGTTATTGCACATAGCTCTTTCATTTCTGTGGGATCACCATTAAGTTTTTTGATCATATTCCAAGCCTGCTTACTACTGTGCGTCATATCCATTTTACTTAAAGTCTCATCCACCGTTGTTGTCTGGAGGCACTTAGTATTTGCTGCATTCTCTCCCCTATCTCTGCCGTAACTTCGCTAAATGGGTCTTTACTATATTCTTCGGTGTACTTTGCATTATGTCTTTTGCTT